TACGGAACCAGCAGAAACAGATGCTGGAGATAACAATGATGATGCCAGAAATGAATCTTTCATTACTGGCATCATCTTTCTTTACTGGCATGACTAAGTGGGCACAAATGCAGAAGAGACGGGCAGAGCCTGTCCATGTATACATAGAAGTACCCAACTAAGGCGACCATCATCTCTGTGTTATTTATGTGATCAGGAGATCAGGGAGGAGTGTAGAAGAGAATGACACCTTAATTTAAGTAAGACAATGTCACAGAGCTAAAACAATTAGCAAGTGTATGTAAGGGAGGACAGCGTTCGTTCTTGGAATGCTCTGTTGTTTTTCAGTTGGGAGAGACTTAGACAGTTAGAAAGTGATTACTTGGATCACTTTCACACAGCCCAGGCTTGTGACTTTCACTTTTCTTTTGTTGAACTCTGCCAATAGCAAACACTTTGTATCAGTTCTGATCTTCATCTTGAGCTGATGGCCAAAGAATTCAACCATATCCTGATAAGAATAACATTTGTATCATAAGATTCCCTCCATCCGTGTCATTCATACCATCATCCTTACAATGGCTAGCAGCCTTAGAAACACAATCCATTTCACCCCGTAACATGGAGGCAACACATTATTGCACACATATGCAAAATCAATGGACACAAGTGTGACGTCGTTCCCCCTGGTCGCAGCGTCGACTGTGTCGTTCGATCACGTTCGCAATGCCAGCTGTTCGCTCTTTGCTGCTCCAAGTGTGACGTTCTAACCCTTTGGTTAGATGAATACCAGCCTCGTCGTTCCCAACCCGCTTCCAACGCCTGGTTACCAGGGTAACTGCACTGATCTCCGGTCTGCCCACCCACGTTGTGATTAGATCTTAGACAGATGGGATCAAACAGGGATTGGGCCATATGCAAGCTGAGTCCAACGGGGGTGATAACACACAAGAAAAATAAAAAACTCACAAGGTCAAAAATGTTGAAGGAAAAGGTAACAACTCTTTATATCAACTGCTTGTTACACAAGATTATTCCTACCTCCCGACCCGTTCTGTGGACCGTGGCACCACGCTTCTACCATACAACTTTAAGGCTTTGAGTTGCTTGCTCTCTAGAAATTTGCATTTCGGGGTGTGGTTTGGTTTCAACACTGGGCGCTGATCTCTACCTGTCGTTCACGGCTGATTTCTCTCGCCGTCCGTGGCTGCAACTAACTCTCTCTTCAGAGTCTGAATTAGTGTTCACTCATCTCCGCCCGTCAGTGGCGAATTGACTTCTTCTCTTGGCGGTTGGACGAGCTTATTCACTTGGCTTGGGTTGGGCGAATTTCTCCGCTTAGGCTTGGTTTGATTCCAACTTCTCGCCTTAGGCCAAACGGGCTGCTTCACTTGGCTTCTCTTGCCCGCAAGAAACAAATGAACGAACCCGCCGCCAGCGCTCAAACTCCATCGCCGTCGGCGCTGCAACTGATTTCTGTCGGTTGGGGTCCCGCTTTTATTGAGGCAATCAAAAACTGGGGTGGGTCTGTCGGCGCCAGGGTTTTCTTGATAATTCTAAAGGCGTATTATTTCTGATTAGGTATTTTCCATTTCGGTAACTTACTTTCCTCCTACTTCCTTACTGTGCCTCTGGGGGGCGTATACCCGCTTCCCTGGTCCTTCATATGTCAGGTTACCGCTCTCGACCAATGGGGTCCTGGTCGGGCATCTTTCCTCCTCCCTCGCACATCATGTGACCACTCTCGGCCAATGGGGTCCTGGTGGTGTCTCTCCTCCTCCCTCATGTATCATGTGACTGCCTTGACCAATGAGACTCTGGTCGGTATCTTTCCTCCTTCCTTCGTGGCGTCTTTAATCGGGCGTGGACAATCCGTGGCTTTGTTCTGGGGAAGAAACACCTTGCTTAAAAAACAAAAACTTAAACTGCCCTTTTCGTATGTGACCGAAATGAGCGATCCCGGTTTCTTTTACACGGTATTTGTCAAACATCCTATCGCTAATTGGATACGATCTAAGAAAGGGATTTCTCTGAACGCAACAAAATATTTCATTCTCCTCCGGCCGATAATAAAAATCTGTATTATCTCAAAAAGCGACATCACCCTGGGTGGCGTTAATGTGAACTAATAAAAATATTTCACTTTCTCCCTTCGCTCGGAGCTTGACAACAAAAATCTTAATTATCTCAAAAAAAAGCATTTTCTAATCATCATCTTGTGTGACTGTATTTTCAATTCTGGAATTGTCTGGGTTCTCATATTAATGGATTGTCTGTATATCCTTAGATAAACTTCCCACCTGTTACCTATCATATTTTTTTCATTGTCTCTAAACTTTATTTCTTCAACCAAATTGATAACAAACTTCCATCCTCTGCGGACACGGAAGTAGGTCAGGTGCTTGACCTGATATTTTTGACATCTGATATGTGCCAGTTGAGCGTGTGTGTTTTCGCTTACTACCTGGTTTCGTATTATTTATTTTTCTCCTTTCTTTCCTTCCTTTTCTTCTTCTTTTCTTTCTTTCTCTCAGATCACCTGAATGTAAAGAAAAATTATTCCTAACTTGAAATATTTTTCAGCTCTAAATAATTATCAAATGGTTAACAAACCGAAAAAACAAATCATATATTTATGAATATCTCTTTTCAGTTTTCTAATTATGCATGGTGCCACACAAGTAATGGAGGAGTGATGGTAAGGCGTCACTAACACTCCTGGCCCATAGCAAATCTTTTGCACAGGAAAGCCAACCTCAAGGCATGTCACCGTGTGTAGTATTCACAGCGCCCCCCATGCTGGATACAGACAGCTTTATGAGCCTTTGTCTTGTATCCATCCCACAAGAGGGAGAAAAGCAAGCACTCAATCACCTTCCTACAGTCCTCACAGAGAGAGTACTGATAATTGGTAAAGGATGACAGGAAAGATGTACACAAGGCACACCTCAGACCTACCCTTTAAGGAAATGGAAACAGTGCTTATATATCAAAGTACAATTTGGGTTAAGATGTGTGTTTACTGATGAGAAACACAATCTCAGGGCAGGAGGCAATGTTTTAAACCTGGGTCACTAGTAAACAATGGGGATGGGCGAGATACTTGGTTTTGTTTAACAGTATTTGTTTTGATTAAAAGGTTGAATCAATGTTTAGATATCCCAAAGTATAATTTTGGTGAAGCGAGAACTCGTGATTGAAATAAGGTAAATAATTGGAGAATAGGTTTACATATCAAGGGATAGTTTTTAGCACTCGTGGTAGCTGCGTGCTGGGCCAAGGGTCAATTGTGATCAGCTGATCCTTTTTCTATAACTCGAGTTTTTGCTAATAAAGAAGAGTTGGGGAAAGAGACTGTAGTCGAGTGAGTCACGAGACTATCGCCGCAGTGAGTCGAGAGATTTGCGGGAGAATTTTGAAGGAGAGAGAGAAGACTAACCCCTGTTCTGAGAAGTCTGTATGAGATGGGACTATTAGTCATAAACCTACCCCAGGTGATTCAATACGTGTTTATCACACACAAACCCCCTCTCTGTTGGGAATTTGCTGGATACATTTTGTTTTTTCTTTTCTCATTTATGTTAAATGTTTTTATTCTCCCTGTAACCTCTGTTCTGATGTTATCTTCTTATATAAAAGACGTCAATATTTCCCCCATTGTTGTCTGGCTTCTGCAGATATTTCTTGTTTTATTTTGCCACATTCTAAACTTCCTACCGCCAACTCTCACAGCCATGTCCACATCCCCAGTCGACCGTGAACATATGGACAACACCCCGCTTACTGGATCTAAAAACTAATACAGCATGGGCAGCGAGCAGGGCTTGACCAGTTGACTGGTCGAAATAATCTACGGGTACTCAGGGAGCGTATGGCCAGTTACCCCTAAGTTTGGTTCTGACTGAGTGGACACCTCAACCCAAAGAGGAGGACGCCGGAGGTTGAGGGGCTGGGGACGAAGTGGTAGATTATTTTTTTTATTATTTTCTTACCTGTTTGATGTCATAAAATATCTAATTGTGCTCAATATGGTCTTTTTTAATTATTCTAAATTTAAGACTTATTGAATTATCATATATTAAACTTACAATAGAAAAAAGTAGTCAATCAAATGTGGTAATTCAGAATTATTTTGTTTTTGAACATCCATACAAAAATAATCTAACTGCTGCTAAAATGAAAAAAAAAATTTAATTCTTTTTAAAAAATGGTTTGCACTCGAAAATGGCATTAAACTTGACATTTTTTGATTCATCAAACATGTCTTTATTTAATTTTAAAAAATCTTCTTACAAACAGAAATGGGAAGATTTTCAAAATTGCACTGAAAACTAATATTTTAAAATAAATATTAAGTGTAGTTTTTTTTTTCTTTTCAATCTGAAAAACAATTTTTTTTGAGTTTATTAAATTATTTTTGGTAAGGTTCAGGAAGAATTTTCCATATGTTCACACTTGATATTGCATATATTTTTTACTGAATATCATTTTCAGAGATATTTCTTTATATAACTGTAAATAAAAAAAGATGTCATGAACACCACCCTCTCTTAATTAAAAAGTACACACAAGATATCAAGAAGTGAGGTAAAAAAAATATTTCCACAGAGTTTTCTAATAAAATAACCTATTTAATTAATTCATCTGACCGCATAGGGTGGTTAGCAAATATCCTTCCAGACCAATTCCCCTTTTTGGCCTTGTGCCATAATTGTATTTATATACAATAAATATCCTTCCAGATTCTTCTGGAGCGATTGGTAGAGGAGTAGAAGTGGGTTTTTCCTGTTGGGACGGATGCTGCAGATGTAGTATCTGTTCCCTGCAGGAGGCCTTCTTTCATCCGTTGCATGACATCTGTTATGTAGTGGTAATATGACTAACTTAGACAAGCTCTAACCAGTTTAGACAAGCTTAGACCAGTGGCCTGAGTGAAAACACTTGGGGCCTGACATTAAAAACCAACCACGTGTCATAACTTTGCTTGTTGAGTAACTAACATTGTTTTGTTAATTTTCCAGTTCGACCAATCAGCACACGACTTGCTATTGGTGGAAGCATTCCAAACTGTACAAAAAACCCTCATCATTGCACATACTGCTAGAATGGCTGGACGGGAGAGTAATGCCATTTTCACGAAGCAAACCCGCTGATGTCACGTGCCGCACGTTAAGGTAAGACCCTTATTTTCCTATACACCAGATGGTTCGCTTGCTTCTACGGGGCTGTTCACCACACTCCCCCCTGATCTCATGAGCACAAAACATACAGTCGCAATCAGGTCGTTTTTGCCGGGTACTTCGCCGAGGGAGTGGAGCAACACAAGCTTCATCTTCAGGGGAGCTAACAGGATGTACCACATTAGTATTTTGGACGCTAACAGTTGGGGAGTCGTCTTCCCCTTTTGTGTCATCTATAACAGATTCAGTATCAAACAAGTGATCAGTGTCTCCTAACGGGGTTGATCTCAAATTTACTAACCACTCACTCTCTTCAGAATCGCTGTCCTGTGTATCTGTCGGGACCGTTCCCATAAAGGGACGCAAGTCCTTCACATGATTTGGAACTCCATCAACGTGCACTGACTGTGGGCTATTAACCTGAGTCACGTGACCCATTCTAAATTTAGTCGTGCACCTCCCATGTGGAGTTTTCACCCAAACGACGTCTCCCACTTCATATGCTCCTTGAATATTCTGTGATTCAATGGGGCACAGAGCCTCGATGCCCCCATACACGGGTATGGTACCTATAAAGTGCATCAGCTGGTGCAGTGCTAGGCGAATGATTATCTTTAGGTGTAACGTTATACCAGTAAACCGCCACCAGTATAGAGCACTGCTTTCTAGCTGCAATGGTTTTGATGCTTTGGTGACTTCTTTCTACTATACCATTCCCAGCAGGTGCATAGGCACACCGGAACAGCAACCGTACACCCCAATTACTCAAAAAAGTTTTGAAATGTTTGCATGTGAATGCTGTGTCATTGTCTGTCAATATCTCGAGTGGTGGACCCCGTTCATAAAAAATTGCCTCTAACTGCCGAACTACGCTAGTAGAATTTTGTTGACATAGTGGATGCTATATTGCGAACTGAGAAGGTCCACAATCAATAATTGTCAGAAAGTGCTTACCACCATGGTGAGTGATGTCCATCGCTAACCTATTCCAGTTGTCCCTCACGTTCAGTTTTCCTTTTCGCCAATGCACTTCTGACAATACTGAAGGGTCTATCAACCTAACAATGTACAGGGTCCTTTTCATGCCCGGGTGTCCGGTTTTCGGGTGGATATTAGCCACTTGGCGTGCATCCACCTTGGTCGTTGCAGTGGCACATACTGACTGCACTGGCTCCGTTTGACCAGTATTATGTCCACCGTCAAGCCATATTCAGCTACAAGCTCGCGAAGTGTGTTCAGCCGTCTTCGCACTAACATTTCCCCAGGTGCCTTCGTATTTATTCGAGCCTTGCCAGTTAAGGTGTTCGAAATCCACTGATGAACACATGCTGAATCAGTAAAAAGATGTATTGTTGACACCTGCCATTGAAGAGCCAAATTGACACCCTTTATCGTTGCGTCTAGCTCGGCCAAATTGATGTGCTTAGCATCTCCAACCGGGCATAGCTACAATGCATCCTCAACAACGTTTCCATCTACCTCTAATACGACACCTGTGGCTACAGAACTCGCATCCACCCATACATTCATTTCGCGGCCTCTCACACACCAGTCTCCTCCTACTGGATCGGCCTCACGTATTCTGGCTATTATGTCAGTTAACATGCAATTAATAGAGGCATTCTCAACTTCATCATCCCATCCTGTGGTTAGAGCGCTTGCTTGTCATTTCACAAATGCAATGGCCACTCGTAGCCAACCGCACTTTGTCACTTCCAGCATGTCCAATTGTTCTCCCATCAAACAGTTCTGGCCTAAGTCAATACTAATCAACATGCAGACATCTTGAATTCATTTTCATAGATTTTATTCACACTCTTCTACTCAAGGATATCAAGTGATTTTATTCATGCTGATTCAATGAACTTTGATCTATCCCTTCTTCAGTGACACACATATGCTTCAGACTGAACCAAATGGATATTGTAGCGGACCCCTCGAGCGCCCCCATATTGCAAGAGGGTGATGAGGTCACGAGAGGCCCGCTAACATTTTCGAAGACGTTAAATCTGACAAGGTGAAACAACATAGATGACAGAACGAGGATATATAAGATATAAGCTAATTTATTCTAGAAAAGTAATAAAGGTGGTCGGAATGGTAGAGATGCAGATGTTCCGGTGCAGGCATTGATGGTCGAGGTTGGTTGTTACAGGTGATCGCTGCTGGTCATTGTAGTTGAAGTTGGTCATTGCAGATAATTGCTGCTGGTCATTGTAGTTTGAGGTTGATGTTGGTCATTGCCAGGAAGCCAACTTGACGTGTTGGGAAGGAAAGAGGAGTTGGCGTTGTTCGGGCATGTCAAAGGTCCAGTGCAGGCGTTGCGTGTCTGCCAGTCGAGTCCGATATTAGTAACTTCCCGTAGTAATTACAAACGTAGTGTACAGGGAAGGTTATGGACGACGTGCAGGCAGCCAGTAGGGACAGAATGCCGAGCGTTGAACAGGGCCAAGGAGCCAGAAGTAGTAGGCGAAGGAGAGAAAGAAAGGAAAGTTTCCAACTATTGTCAAGTTGGCAGACAAAAAAAAATGGGAGCGTAACTTAATACGCAGTCCGGGTTGACATCCTGGCCACAGAGGCCAGGAGCCTGCATACCGACCGTTTCAGTCGCCAACCATAAATTTAGCGAGAAGTCACTGTCTTGTGGTAAGGGAGACTAGCAAGAGGATTGGCAAAGCTAACACAGTAAAGTCTATGTAAAAAATAAGTCGAGATTAGCTAAAAGGAAACTAAGGCCTAAAAATGTCTAGAAGTATATTACAACTAGGTTTGTAATATAACTAAACTGAAAAGGTAACTTGCTAGTCTCTACCTTGGGTTAATAGCGTGTAGGGAGCACAACCGAGAGGTCAAGGTCGAAATGACCTGTTTTCTTCCAGTTTAAGGAGCCAAGGAGGAGGTAACTCCGACAATATAAAGGACTAATTCTTAAATCATTTGTGCTGATATTAGCGCCGGGAATTTTTGCTATGAACTCTCCCCTTTTCTTTTTTGTTCAGGACTATCTTAGTCTCATCCTTTCATTGATGTTACTCAGTCACTAAAGTCTACAAGATATCTTCAAACTGCTGTGTAGCTGTCTTTGCCCAGGGTAACACTATAACTTGAACTTTCCTTAACGTTACTGAGTTTCTCACATACAAACTCATTCTTTCTTCTAGGATCCTACATCAAATACATGAACACTTCTAAAGGACATTTTTGCATGCATTTGTTTACACTCCTTTTTCATACAAGGACACTTAAATAACCAATCATATAAACATGTTTATTATCTCACAAGGACTAAACATAATTAGATAATTTCTTTTCAGCACATCCTTAATAATCACTTATCCTTATTTTGCTTAAATATATGTATTTTGGTTTTGTTGCCAAAAATAAAATTTGGCCTTACTTTTAATCAAATACATCTGTTTTGTTCTTTTGTATTCAGTTTGTTATTAACTCATTATTTTTTGGAACAATTTTGTTTGCAGACCTTTATTACAAAAATATGCAGTCTACTCACACTCCTTCTACAATATATCTTCTTCTTTATTATTGATGATAATGACTCATTTTTGTAACATGGGGGAGGGGCAGTAAAGTTGTGTCCCAATATGGACTGCTTTTCATAAATCTTTAAAATATGACTTTTATTGTTGTATTTCTACTCATAGTTTCAGGGTTTATCAACATAAAAATTTGTTTCTGTAATAAAAGTCTAAATTTTGTTTCATTTTTAAATGTATTCCATTTCAGTTGATTTCAGAATTGCATTCTTTGTTGTTGTTTTTTTAAAACATTTGCATCTCGTAACCCTAATTCTGCCATGTTGGATCAAACTGTAGAATTCATGTCTTAATTCAGATTTTTATTTGCTTTATGTTGTCATTGTAACATATCTTAAAATAGAGTGGCAAGTTTTTTGTGATATGGAAAACAGGAAAAACACATAAATAAAGATGGAAAATTTTTTGCTACTAAAAAATAAAATATGCTGAAATCTTAAATTTGGCTATGGGGAAAGACTTTTGTCATACATCCAACTCATTGCAGTAAAGGGGCTTGCACAAGGAAGTTCACCAGCAGTTCCACACGTCGGGCATAAGGCAAGTCAATCACTCATTTTTAGTAAGGCTACGAGCTCAAGCCAAATTTTGTTCATTCACAGTTGATTGTCCCAATACTGAAGGCTTCTGTCAGCAAGTCAAATACTCATGTGACATAATAGCCGGGCAGATGATTGTGGGACTTGCCAACAGGGAACACCCGAGTCAAGTTTTGGCCAAGGTTGCCAACCTCACCAGACTCAAGCAAAAGTTCAACCGACTCGTCAGCTTGGAAACGACAGACTATTCAGCTCCATAGTTATGATGTTAGCCTGTCAACCTTGTCTTACCTCACTTTGGCAAGAAAGCGGATTACAAAACGCACACATGACCACACTTTATGCCAATATGCCTTCTCTGAGTGATGGTGTTCAACTAATAGAGAATCTGCACTTCTTTATAGCAAATCAAATATGTCATCTTGTGATTCCAGTCAGTGGACCCTGATGTAGTTAAAGGAGTTTCTGTCTTGAACAACAGGCAACATACAAAGCAGTACAACAACCTTGGGATGGTGAATAGAGTAGCCATTCACATTTTACACATTCATTCCGCAGTTCATGTTTGAACACATGGCTCAATAAATACCTTGTCTGAGTATTCTTTCCTCCAGCTCCTTTATACATACCTTGTGAGTTTGAAAGGTTGCTATCATGATTCTGATGATGGCATCCCATTATGAATCCAGTAATCCAATATGCTAGTATTGTTAATGTTTCAAAATGTTCCATCAGTTTTGGATCACAAACTCATTTACTGTTACAGATTTGGATATTTCCTCTTGTGTAATGTCCCCAGCAGCAGGAACAAGTAATGATATCATTGGTATGTCTACTGGAACTGGATGATTGGATACAGGAGTGGGTACTATATTTGAATGAGCAGTAACAGTGGATAATGTTGCACCTACATTGAACCAAGATGTTAATTTTTCAAAGTTTGCTCATTTTCTCCTCTTCCTCTGCCGTTATTTTTCTCTTCTGTGCACAACTCAAAACATTACATTTTATTCCTGCTCATCTGGAAAAAAAGTTTTAATTTTCATTATATTAAAAATGTTTCATATTTAGTTCCATGTCAAGGGCTAGTGTTATATAAGTCTACTTGTGACAGGGCCTAAATATTTATATATTCAGCTTCCATAATGAACAAGTCCTTCCTTATATTATACTTCAGTATTTATTCTTAATCCAAACACTCTACTGTGTGCTGATTCACAACACACTGAGACAAGGCCTAGCCTCATGCCTTACCATACAAGTCTTCCAAAGAATCACAAATTCAATCTCTAATAGCCAATGGCATATGAATATAACCAATATCATTGTTATTATCGAGTGAGTTGAAGTGAAGTTAACAGATATATTTTTGTTATATAGTGTGTGAGATCCATACACATGCATGCATATGAGGTTGCAGAAGTGACCATGATACTAAATTAGAGCTGAATGCCAATATCCACTTATAACTCAATAACAAATATCTGTAAGTCACAACACAACTTATTGGATTAAGCTTAAGCATGAACTGAAATAATAACACAATTAGTAACTGAAGTTTTTGTAAATACATTGATGCCCACATTTATAGTTTCAATTCATGTCATCACAAATAAAAGTCAATTTGAAAATGAGATTTTTTTTTAGAACTATCAAATATTGTTAATTTTCATAGATTGAGAACAGCTGCTTAACACATATTGTGTAATTGTTTAATAGATAGAAAGGAAATTCAAAATAAATTTTAACTTATACAAATCATAGTTCTCATCATTATTGTATTCCTCGTACATCTAATGACTCTTTGTATGCTGTACCAGGCAACACAGTATTAATTCACAACTTAACACAAAGAAACATTGAAAGATGATTCGCTAAATAGTTTACTAAGAATTACAAGTACACTTTGATCTCAATGACTTTTCAAAAGGAAAGTTTCATGCTTTAAAAAGAGTTGACATTCCATGTGAACTCATGATCTGTGATAAAGTATGGCTTTAGGTGGATTGTGTCAAGAAAGCATCTTTGGAAGCATCTTATACAAGATCCTTCAAAGTTATAGTGTCCAGCATTGAGACAAATGATAATATACATAATCGAGGATCTGTGGACAGACTGAAACCTTATATTCATAAGTATTGAAGGGGTTTATCTATTTACCGAGAAGGCATCTATAACAGCCTATATGTTTTTAACAAAATTATGCAGAACGAAAGTAAAATACATGACAGGCTGAAATTTAATGAAATATTTATCCCATAAAATAGGAATAAAATAATAAAAATTTGCCTCTGGAAAAGTTACGTCTTTTATTAAGAGTACAATTTTGAAAAAAGGAAAGTACTACTTACATGACTGGCTGTAGAGGAGACTTTTTATGGTTGATGAACTTAACACATTAAGAGAAGGAAAAAGGAAGAGAGAGTTTCTTTTTGAAAGCATGTTTTTTAAGGCATCAGTCAACTGCTTCTACTAGGTTGCTAGTTGCTGCTACTACCTATCTTCTTCACAGCCAATCATCTGTGTTGGGGCCTAAATTCACTTTAGTATTTTAAGGTTAAAAATAAAATTTTTATTGATAATATTACAAACATTATTAGTTTATGTAGGGATAAAAGCATTTTTTTTAATAAAAAATAAAATAAACAGTAATTAATACATAAACTTTGTAAAGAGCATGTTAATTTACAAAATAAAGTAACAAAGTAAAAAAAGCTAGAAAGGAAATACTAATAAGAACAAATGTTTTTTTGTTTCTTATGAATTAAATTTTGGAGTTTTAAATTATTGCGCACTTAAGTTGTGTCGAAAAACAATGACAAGTGTTGTTATTTTTTATTTTAACTGATTTTTTTTTAGTAAAGCTATGTTTTTAAATTAAAAAAACAAATTAAATAATAAAATAAAGATTTTTCTTTTAAATTAAAGATAAAACAAATAATAATTAATGCGCAAACTTTGAAAAGAGCTTTATTTTATTTTATTTTTTTTTTTTTAATTTAAAAAGAAAGCTTTATTTGCCACTTGTTATTGCTTTCTGACAGTGCGCAGTAATTTACACGAGTAAGATCAGTAAAAAAAAGCAGTAAATAGGCTGTTAATTAATCTCCCGCGCGCAAAGTGTTCCGCAGTGAATGTACTTAAACAAAGCCCGTAATGGTGGACGAATGAACGCGAGTGAGTCCGAGGTTTTATTGTCGATAACTACAAAACGATGGGTCATTTTCGAGTTCAGCATGTACATTTGCACGGAGATATGACGATTTGGGAAATTTTTAATAGATTTTTTTTGCAGGGCTTAAAAAGCAAATTTACCTTTATTTTTTAAAGATTGAATTAATTAAAAAAATATTTTTCGTCAGATAGCTGAAAATTATCAATAAACTGCCAATAATAAACTATTATTCAGAGATCTTCCGAGCAACGCCGGATATGCCCGCTAGTGAATAATAATAATTATTACTTTGTTTTTTTTTTTAAATCCTTTGTTATTGTAACATTAACTTAGCAATATTTTTTTTTAATCAGACAGTATGTTATTGTTATTATTTAATCGACAAGTTTCACCTGATTTTTTGATGCTTATATTTCTTATTAATCTCCAAGTTTGTTGACGAAGCAAAAATAAAAAGGATTAATTGGGGAATGGGGGGGGGAGACCCGTTTTGAGCCACACAGCTTCTTAAGGTGTCAGGGTGAGTGTGAACATTACGTTTTTTTTTTTTTTTCATCACTTTCCCCTAAATTAGGAGAAATCTTCTTATTAATTTTCACAGGTTTTCTTACGAGGTTAGTGGTTTTATTTTTTTGACTCTCAATATCACTTTATCTCTTGAATTTTTTTTTTAAAATGAATATGGTAAGGTAAGGATATGTCTAATAAAGGAATAATATTTATTTTCTTTTAAATTCACAAAGTTTAGTTTAACTTCCTGCTTTCATTGGAGTCTAATAAATCAACGAATTAAATAATTTTATTGACAATATAAAAGATGAGCATTCCTGTTCTGATTTTTGAATTAAACGTAAATTATCATTTAAAACAAGTTAATAGAGAAGTGCATTATTCATTTAAAAAAATGCAATAATATCGCGCATTATTTCGTTTCGCGAACTTAAAGAGTATGATTATTTACAAAATAAAAAAATGCTAGGAAGGAGCATTTTGTTTTATTTTGTAAATAATCATGCTCTTTTCAAACTTCATGCAAAGTTTGCGCATTAATTATTATTCGTTTTATTTTTGTTTTAATTTTAAAACTGCTTTATTATATTATTTGTTTTTTTTTTTAATTTGTCATTACTATTCTACATGGAAAAAAGGTTCTATATTGTATTTGTTTAAAACTACACTTCTCAAAAAATTTAAGTTTCAAATAGAAAACATTGACAAATTAAAAAAGAACAAATTAAATAATACAGTAAAGCATTTTTTATTTTTAAATAAAAACAATAAAAAATTTAAACTAAAACAATAAATAATTTCAAAAATACACTTATAAAAAATGGTAGTGCTTTATGATAATGCGTAGTGATTTCTGCAACGAAATTTTGTAAAAGAAGTAAATAGGCCAAAATTTATGCTTACGCCAACGAAAATACCCGGAAGTACCCCGCAGTTAATTAGTAAAAAAAAACAACAAACAAACAATTCCCGTGGCGGACGAATTACCCAGAATTAGTCCGATTTTTTCTTGTCGATAACTCCAAAACGGTAAGTTTTTTTTCATAATTTAATTATTGTTAATTCGAGTTCAGCATGTACATTTACACGGAAATATGACGATTTTGGAAATTTTTTTATAGATATTTAGCGCTCGGCTTAAAAAGCAAATTTAGCAATTATTCCTTGTTTGAAAAAGCCTGATTATTCAAAAAAAATAAATAAATAAATAAAATAAAATAATAAATAGCATTAAAAATTGAGGAATCTCTACCGTTATAGGTACCTCTACGAGATCGCTAAAAAAAAAAAGAGCATAGCTTGATGAAAAGGACGCCAAACTTGACGAAAACGAAATTTTATCGTCTAAAATTTAGACTCTAGTCTAAATATTTATGTTAAGACTAAGAGGAAAGATCAAAGACTTTAGTTTATTTTAATTATTTTTTAAAATTTTTTCCTTCTTTTTAGAACAATCTGAATTTTCATTTAAAAATCCTTATTTCTCTTTGTATCACCAGAACTAGTAAAATAACATACAATTTTTAGCACGTTTTTTTTGTTGTATGATTGACACACATTAATTTGGAAAATCTTGCAAAAATAAAAATAATTGTCGGATGTTAATGAAACTTTCAGAAACTATTCACAGATGATCGAAATTATTATGTTTTCTTTTTTTAAAAAGTCATGGCAGAAATATTTTTTTTAAATATTTTTTTCTTTTTTTTTATATTTATTACCTCCCCCCTAACTAATTTTATAAAAACTCTAGAAATTTGATCGAGTCTACTTTAGTAATTACAACAGTTAAAAACACAACGCTTTAAGGAATGCAAATCATGTTTTTTTTGTTTTTAATTGGACCCCCCCGAAAAAATCAGCTCTGAACATACAAAACCCAATAAAACAAATATATTATTTAATTTCAAATGCTAGTTGTTTTTATGAATATGGGCAATATTTTCTGAAAGCAAAAAAAATTTTTGAAAAAATGAATTTTTAATGCAATTATTTATTTTTTAATCATAATAGATTTTTACATTTAAGTTGTTAAATTATAAAATTAGTTAAAGTCGCATCCACTTTCGTAAGTGTCCTTATGAGGTAGATCTTTTTTTAGCGTGTTGTATTGTTTTGACTAATCAGAAGACCCGCAGTAATTAGGAAATGTAATTTTGTGTTTATAATCAGGCTGTAATTATAAAGTACGGAAGACCAACCAGAATACAATTAAGTTGTGTTATTTGAGTTAAGCATTGTTTTCCACTGTTAAGGCCTTTACTTTTGCGAAACACGTGTGGAGAAGTTAATTTGATTTTTCAATTTCAACTGAGAAGGGTATCTACAAGTATCAGTATCATCTTATGAAATTTATATGATTTTATTTTTATATTGATCTCAGTTATGGCATTTTTTCCATAAATGAAATATCAAAATTAATAATGAAATGGATGGAAATACAAATAACACAGTAAAATATAATAAATGTACATAAAATTATAGTATTTTATGTACACTTCTGATAAAATTTTATAAGAAAGGTACCTATAAGTTAATTAGATACCTTATGAAATTTAATCTAACTCTTAACAGTCTTATTTTAATTTCTTTATGATATATTTTCCATAAAGCATCATAAACGTAAAGGTGAAAGCTAAGTACAAAAAACAACAAAAAAATTAGAGCGCTGAAAGGTAAATAATTTGTCCCCTTAAATGTAAATAATTTCGCTTTTCTCCTTCCGTAGAACAAATTATCCTAATGGAATCCATCAATATGTCATTCATCACCTGTCAAGTGACGCAAAAGGTTATCACCTGCTTTGTTTTATTTTCAAATTATATCTTTTTGGTGCTGAAGCTAAGTTAAGCTTGGTTCAAAATATTTTAAATAAACATTATAATTTCTGATTTTCTTAAAATAAGTTTTGAAAAAATGATAATTGATCTTTAAAAGAATTTCAAACTGAGATTTTCATTTTTTTTTTATAAAATGGAATAAAATGGTTGCCGTTGCCATCTGTCAATTTTGCTGACTCAAAAAAACCCAAAAAAAAACAGATTTTTAACAAAAATTTCGGATGTGCAAGGAACAATTAAAAAATTTAAAAAAATACCCCCGAAATACTTTGATCTTTTCTCTTAATAATAACATAAACACTTAGATGATAAAATTTTGTTTTCATCAAGTTTGGCATCTTTTTCATCATGCTATGCTCTTTTTTTTAGCGATCTCGTGGCGGTACCTACGCTAGGAGATATTGACAATACATTGGGTCCCCGGATTTTTCCAGGAATAACACATTTTCTTAACAGGCTAAGAATTGTCAATATCTCCTAACAGTAGAGATTCCTCAATTTCTAATGCTATTTGGAATAAAGCTTCTTTTTTTTCTTTCTTTTTTAAATTGGTCACTGGCGCATTATTTACAAATTAACCAAAACATATACATGTTATTTTTACTACCCTCTTCATGTTACTTTACGTAAAAACAGGACTAGGAGAATCATCAAACACCATTTACCAAAAATCTGCTCTGAATCGGAAAATAAAAATGCAATGTAAATCTATGACATTATTTAATTAAAAACTTTTAATTGCTAAATAAGAGGGACACTATTTTCAAAGCTGAATTTTTACAAGAATTGTTTTCATTTTTTTCTTTTTTAATTTTGAGAACAATTTAATTAAATTTTAAATCTTTTAAAATTCTGTATTGATTTCACCTTTTATGATTTATCATTTAAGTAAACTATATTTACTAATCTTTAGTACAAATCATCAAACACCAATATTAAAAGAACTTGGATTTTTTTTTTTTTCTTGTAAACATGCATTGCAGATTTTTTGCCCATATACAACATTATTAGAAAATAAGAGCAATAACTGTAGTAAATTCAAAGCCAGAAAGTATCTAAAATTCAATAAAACATTAGATTTATGGAGAATATTTGCTTAAATTTTTAAAATTACTGAGTACTTAAAAATTAAAAGGCACTCACGTTATATTCAATTATTTTTATAGCTAAAGCCTCCATAGAACAACTTTAGTAGATGAACATTAATCTGCCATCAAGTTGTCAACATCTTACTGCTGTGTTAAAAGAAATTCAATATTTTAAACTTAAATAATATTTGTTTCAAATCAGATTAATTATACCATAAATCAATTAATATTCCTTAAATAAAGTTTCAGAAAAGTATATTTTATTTTTGGAAGATTTTTTAATGAAGAATTACATTGCGATGAAAGATGACTAAAGAGACACTAATCAGCTATTTTAGCAAACAGACAGTGCTCAACTGACCCTACTTTATATGTCTATATTTCTTAGATGAGGTATTGTAATTATTTACACTATTTACATTGTTCAAACTGTTGTCCGCATCCTTGTTGCCATATTCACAACGTTTCAGCTGTTGTACCGCTTTCAGGTGATTGGAATTTTGGCTGTTGGCCGCTTTCAGGTGATTGGAATTTTGAACGAAACCCTTTATTTCATCTACCAGGATAGATTGTTCTAGTTCCATGTGCCTATTCCAGATATCTAAGTTCTCTCCCTTTAACTCAACTTTCCAAGTTTTTGTTCACCAAGCAGTAGCCAGGTATTTAACTCACAACTCTTTGGGTCAAGTTACTGGAATCAACCAATGATTTTATCCACTGAGCCATGTGTCCTCAGTCTACCCCAGTGGACAAAAGGGTTCAGTTCGAAATTCCAATCACAAGAAGGCTACACTCACCAATGTATCAATATTCACCAAGAGATATGCGACAATTAGATTTCACAGTTCACTTCAGACATCAAATGTGTTTCTGGTCCCAACAACAACAATGTAGTTGATACCCTGTTAAGGATTAGCAGATTTCAGCTATGTGTCTATAGCAGATGAACAATAGAAAGTCAGCACAATGAATAACAGAGTAACTTGCTTCTCATAATGATAAATAAAAATATTTTATGATACTTCTAGACCACGTGTACCTCCTTCTCTATGTAAGGCTATTTTTTAACATTTTCATAGGATATCACACCCAAGCATAAGAGCTACTATCAAAATGATTGCTGGTATGTATGGCCCAGTATAATAACAACCTGGATATAAACTTCTTAGTACTAAGACGACTGTTGGTACATTTAGTAACCCAGATGCAGGGTTTACTAAATTCCATATCAATCTAGCTACTAGAAACATCTAAAATGACTAGGCAGACAATTTATCACTTATTATAATGTTGTCTATCTATAAGAAACGTGTGCAAGAATGATCTGTGATGAACACCAGCTGAAATAATTGATGTAACAATTTAAACTCTTCCTGGAATTATTTTATAGTAATACAAAAGTTAAACTGACAAACATTTGTCACAGACAAGTAACTACATAAATCTATATTCCAAAAAATCTGACCAATTGAATGTTTATTTTGGTTTGTGCAGTGAAAAAACCTTTCACTTTATTATAAAGGACCTTACCCAGTGCACAAGAGAATTAATAAATATTTTACCATTCTGCACAATGGAAACAAAGACAATATTTCCATTAAAAGATTTAAACTGCAAATATGTTGATGTTCAGTTCTCAAGGATACAACATAAATACTACAGCAACATCTACAAAGCAACAACCTACAACCTTTAAGATGATACTAACACAAGAAAAATAACATTTGTCAATCAATATCTACCAGAAGTGGTAGGAAGATTTCATTGCCAGAACGTTTCAAGACATGTACATTATAAAGATTGATTGCATATTTACTTGCTGTAATGACATTTAGACTGTGGGACTATTGTAGGAACAATGATCACAATAAATATAAAAAATAAAATAAACAGGGACATGTGGAAGAAGTGGATTGCCTCCATTAAGCATGTAGTCTCATGAATTGAATAAAGTCACATGGTATTAGTATAAAAAGCAGCACGCTTTTCTAAAATCTCTCTTTATACTCTTTTTCTATTCCCTGAACAGCTGCTGTCCAGCATATAAGTAATTTTTGCCAAAACCATCAAGCACTCACTCACTCACTCACACTTATGGTTTCCAAAAATTGTTATTTTGATGGAAATACATTCTGGTTATTTTAAACAAAAATCTTTTATTTGTTTGTAATTTGTATGTAAAAACTTTGGTTGCCACTTCTTTTAGTTGAGCTAGAAGTAGTAATCACATCAAAGACATTATTCAATGTTTCTTTCTCTTTTTTTTCATAGATTAAATCCATCTTCCATCAGAAATGGGAATAATTTCTCAATGGGCTGTCTACCAAATGTGTAAATCACTTGGTAATAATTACAGTTACATACTGAAAATTCTCAAGGATATTTATCCTGAACTTTACTCAGAGAGTCCAACTTATGATTGGGAAAGGAAGTCCATTCTTGGTTGTTTCCATAAGAATTTCACTGAATTGCTAAAAGAATTGAATGAAGAGGATTTAAAGAAAGAAAAAGAGAAATCATTTCAATGGTCTCATTGGAAAGAATCAAATAAGAAAGAAATACCGATTATTGATCTTACCCACCAGTAAGTACAAAGGATTTTTTTTTTTAAGTATTGAAAATGATGAGGTGTATTGCATGTTACTAAATGTTAAAATAAAAATACATACCAGGTATAACAGCAAAATTGTCCAAATCATGTAACAGTATAATTGTCCATTCCACAGAATGTTTAATATCAAAAAACAACTAAACTAATTGAGTTTTTTTTTTCCAGGTTTTTAGATAAGACATTTAGCCATCTTGACACCATTTTTCATAAGAATTACTGAAAAACCCTTTAAGTTATTCAGCTAAAAAGAGAACAGGTTAAATAGTTTTGTGTCAGACCCACAATCTTACCAACTGAGCAATGGTGAGGGGGAAAAAGATCATTCAGGACTTCAGTAATGGTACCAATATTCATACTCTGGCTTCCATCTTCAAAGTTCATTCAAGAACCATCAAGAGGATGGTGACTAAGTTTAAAAAAGAGGGAACAGTAGAGAAGAAAACTGGACCAGGAGGTCACAACAGGAAGAGGGGTCATCATTTTAACTTAGAGCTAAAGAGATCAATTAGAAAAGATTCAACTCATTTCATAAGACATTTGGCATATGAGAGAGGAGTTTCAGCTATGACCGTCCAAATGGCAGTGAAAAAAGAATTGAAAATGAAATCATACATGATATGTGTCAGGCACCTTGTTACTACAGGACAGAAAGTTAGAAGGTTAGATAAGGTGAAGATTGAATAAGTTAGAAAATGATCATGGAATAATGTGTGTGTGTGTGTGCGCGCAAATATATAGAAAAATAGGACAGAACACAGGTTAATAATCCGAAGTTCTTTAGTATTTTTGTTTTTATTTTAAAAAAAAAACAGTGCTCAACACATAAGTAGAGCCTAAATTATAATTATTTTTTAAAAATATGATTCCATCGTTACATAAGAGTTCTCATGTTTCAAAAACAGGAGCTAAAAACTTCAATATAATTATAAAAATTAAATTGAATTAAAGTATCCAGCTCTGTTTCATCTTCAACAAAATTTTTAGAATAACTAATCTTGAAATTTACGGAGCTTTATAAGCATATTCATTCGTAATATTAATTACTATGGAAACGGCAGTTACACAGTAAAATGTAGTGAAAGAGATAATCAGGTACCCCGAAAAAAAGTTTGTGTTTGTGTGCGATCTGCCAAAGAAAAATTACCAAAAAGTAGTCAGCAAAAATCTACATCAATGACTAGAAGCTATGCTAATGTTCTTCCCTCCCCTGAATGGTGTGACCAATCAGAAAATTCTCTCGGTGAACAGAAGTCGTTGTTTTTCGCTTATAAAAGGAGATGATTTTTTTTGAGCTGTGAGACGAACACGCGTTGTTGTTGGTGAGAAGTGAAGGTTGGATTTGTGACCCCATTTTGTCGTCTCTACAGTGTGTGTTGGACTGTTACGTCGGACTATCGTGTGAACTGCGATTTGGCTACAAGTGTTGCGGCCGAGAAACAAGAAATCTATTGCTGTTGCTACGATCAGTTGACAGTCTTTTCTTTACCACAACATAAAAGCAAGTCATTAAAACAGGCAATACAACAGATTTGGTGACAAGGATTTTTTTTTATTTGACCTGACTTGGTGAGTGAAATTTAATCTTGAATTTTTTTTTGCTTATCTTTGCCTTAAAAAAACAAACAAACCTGGTAAGTTAAAAGAGATTTTGCATAAGCAGCAGGGACAGTTTAAGAAATCTCAAATGAATTTAATAACAGCTCAGACACAGCAATTTCAAATTCAACTGGCTGCTCAGACCAAAAACAATTCTGTTGATTTTCTGGCAAAATCTTTTTCACCATTCAACTACGATCCTTCTAATAATGTCATTTTTTTCTTCATGGTTTCAATGTTGGAGGGACACTTTTGAACATGATTTTTCACACAAAGATGACACCTAGAAATCAAGACTCTTGCTCCATAAATTAGGAAGTAAAGAATATGAGCATTTCACAAATTTTATTCTGCCCAAATTGCGTTCAAATTTAACATTCACTGAAACTTTTCGTATTCAGCAGTCTCCTTTTCACATTAGATTCAACTGTTTAGAAATAACAAAAAGCAAGTTGAATGACTATGTAACTTTTACAGGTTACATTAATCGTGAATGTGAGAAATTCTAGCTTCAGACACTAACTAAAGACTAATTTAAATGTCTAATCTTCATCGCTGGTTTTAAATCTCCAAATGACTGATGTGCACACATGGCTATTATCCAAACAGGAGCAGGACAAAAACATAACTGTGAAATCTGTCACAGCAGAATGTGAAAGACTTTTAAGTCTTAAAAAAAGACAATAATGATTCAACAACTAGCCTTACATCCAAATTTGCCCACAAACAAGCATCCAATCAAAGAAGAATTCATCACACATGTCAAAGAAAACTTCTCCTTCTGCATTTTGGTTTGGTGGTGATTGGCATTATTCTCATTCCTGTTCATACAAAAAACAAATATAATATCAGTTATGTTACAAATGTGGACACAAGGAAAACTTTTTGCTTCTCGGGAGTTAAACCTTCCTATTCTACTTCAATGTCGGTTCAGAGGAAATCTGTGAACAAGTTCACATTCAGTGTTAGCAAATTTTAAAGTTGAATTTGAATCTTACAGAAAGTATATTACTGTTTCTGTCAACAAAATCCGAGTTTGTTTTCAATTTGATACAGCTTCAGAAATTACCTTAATTTCACAGTCCATGTGGGAACAATTAGAGAAACCGGACATTGAAAACAGACCACATTGCTTGGAGTGCTTCTGGTGATGAAATTCTGCTATTCAGTGCCATGTTTTTGAGAAAAGTTTCTCTAGTATATGTTATGTCACAGACTTTGGTCTCAATTTGATTGGTCTTGACTGGATAGACACACTGGATCTTTTCTCTATGACACTCAACAGTGTTTACACATTTGCTCTTTCCTCAGTTTCTGAGATTGAAAACTATTTTGCACTTTCTCTCAAAATGAAGTTCTGTGATGTTTTCAAGGAGTATCTTGGGTGCTGCACCAAAGTCAAAGCTACCTTCAAGTTGAAACTTGACGTGATGCCAGTTTTTAGGCCCAAACATCCTATGCTGCTCTTGACTTAGAAAAGCATTTCAAGCGCTTCCAGCAAGCCAAAGTAATCCAGCCAACAAATTACTCTGCATGAGCAGCTCCCATTGTTGTGGTCAAGAAAGCAAGCAGTAAAGTTTGTATATGTGCAGATTTTTCTACAGGTTTAATTGACTCTTTAGATGCCTGTTACCCACACCAGAAGATATTTTCGCTAAACTTAATGGGGGAACTTGCTTTGGAAAGATTGATTTATCTGATGCTTTTTACAAATTGAAGTAGATGAGGATTCGAAGGAATTGCTGATGATCAACACCCATAAGGGGTTATTCCAATACAATTGGCCATTTTTTGGCATTGTCAGTGCCTGCTTTATTTCAGAGGTGATGAATGCTATGCTGACTGGTTTAACTGGAACTGCTGCATTTATTAATGATATCATTATTGCAAGTGAAACTCTGGATGAACTTTTAAAATGTTTATTGTGTTTGAATGGATTCAGCAATATTGTTTTCATATCCAAGCAGAGAAATGTCAGTTTTTCTGGACATCAATCAAGTACCTCAATTTTATATTTGATAAACATGGACAAACAATTAGAAGACCTTGCTCATAACTGTACAAAATTTCATTTAGCAGCAAAATCCCTGAGGAAATCAGAACTCTTTTCTTGGCCTGTCCCGGATTCCCCTTAGTCACGTTTTCATATTGATTTTGCAGGACCTATCAATGGAAAATGTTTTCTGTTGCTAGTGGATGCCTGAAATTTTCCTGATGAGTTGCATCGTCTCTGAGGAAACCATTCTGAAACGACAGCACATCTTCAACAGATTCAGAGTTTGATAATGGCTCTGCTTCAATGAAATGTTTAGATTTATGCTAGCAAAATGGTATCAAACACATATGCACACCACCATTCCATCCACAATCGAATTGACAAGTTGAGCCATTTGAAGATACCTTTAAGAGGGCACTCCAAAAGTTAAAATGGGAGGGCACGGTAAGTGAAATATTGGAAACATTCTTAGAAGTTACAGAGCCACACCAAACAGAAACACCCCAAACCATAGCTCACCTACTGAGTCTGATGAACTACAAAAATTGGTTATATGTACATGTCTCATACATTCAAGTGCACAAGAGAAACACAGCAATGGAAAAAAAAAATTCAACTGCCGTTATAGTGCAGTAAGTTGTACTTTCAAATTGGGCCAACAGGTTTTAGAAAAAGACTCTATCGAAATAGCACAGAGAAGTGGACACGAGATTACATCTTGTGCCAAACTGAAAACAGCACTTACAATCTTCCATTTGGGTACAGCATGCAAACTTGGTATGCTTTTCTAAACTTGCAATATCCATGAACCAAAAGGTCGGATCTTCCACACAACATTTTGTTGGTCATTTTTGATCTGCCTTGGGGAAATGTTGCAACATCCACACAAAACAAGAGAAGTGTGGAACATAGACCTAGACCTTTGAGGGATGATAACCAGAAAGTGAGAGTTTGACATTCCACCAAATGTCTACAAGTAAACCCCCAATGCAAAACTTACCATCACACTAAAAAGGGGACATGTTAGGGACAAAAGGAAAATAAATCTCTCAGAAAAAAGGGTGAAGTTGTCTGCCTACTGGACGGAAGAAATGTAACAGGTGACCAAATAAATCTATTATTGTTTCTATACGTGTCTCCGTTTTATCTGTCAATCCATTTTTCTTGTTCCAAGTTACCCAGTAAAAGCAAGTCATTAGAACAGGCGATACAACAGAGAGATATACAGAGAAAGAGTCCAGGAGGAAGTATCTATGTTTGTATTCCCACTTGACTATTTGGAAGGTATGTTTGTTTTCAATGTAGCAAGGACAAGTTAACTGTTTACCAACCAGTTATGCTAATGTCATATTTCATCTCAGGTATGTTACAATGATTGCAGCATTGAAAAAATGGACAAATTTATAGACTCTGACTTGATTTTCAACCTGATTATATACACATCTACTGAAAAGGCTGCTCTCTTCTTATTGGTTCACTGTCTTATATCCTGGTTGTGAAAGTTTTTTGATTGATTGATCATACTAATTTTAGAAATGGTAAAATTTTGGTCTCCCTATTTTTATAATTAATATTATTATTATTTATTTATTTATTTTCTTATATCCTGATTGGTTGGTCAAACTATGGCTTAGAACTTAGAAGTAGCAAACTCAAGACCCAAAACAGAACAACCTCTTCCCATGAGTCCATCTTGTTTTTAAAATCTTTCCTCTGTCACTTGACATCAGTGACATATCAATAATAACTTCCTGAATTCAAATAAGATTCCCTTTGTCCAAAATCCTACTGAAAACAGTAATTATTATTCAATCACCAAAGTTAGAGACCAGTCAATATTTAGATGGGGGAACCACCGGATTACTGTAAGCAACTTCATACAATCCAAAATATGCTTCAGCTTTAAATAATCAACAAGTGGTTGATAAACCAGAAAAATAAATCTATCAATTGTCCAAAAGCTACATGGCCTCCTTGCTGATGAGGGTGACAATGAAATTCCAGGCTGGCTCACCCTGAAAAGTATTTTTGAATTTGGTAAGAAACAAAACAAATCTAAATAAATCCAAGTTCTGCTCAGATTTTATAAAAACATATAAATCTTGTCAGCCCAAGGTGAAAGATACGGAAAAGGGCTGGGTGGTATTTAGTTGTATCGAATTTTACCAGCATTTCAATATCTACCTTCTAAATGATTTTAGACAATTAATACTTTTATGCTATTTCTTCACCCATTATATTCCCATCAATGTAGCACTTTTGTATAATTTTTTTTTCAAAAATTAAAATTGATTCCTTCCTCCCCCAAAACCCCATAATGCATCTTCAAGCCCTGACAAAAATCTGTTAGCAGCAGGTCATTCTACCATACATAGGAAACTCAAAATTACTTTTTAACATAAAAAAATTTTTGCAGAATTTTCATTTGATGAAAATTAGATATTATTAAGCAGGATTTTTTGTTTGAACAATTCTGAATCTTTTATATTTGTGCTTAGTTATTTTCTAGTTTTAAAAGATATTTCTTCTTTTTAGTCCTTTGACAGAAGATTCATGCCGTAATACTCCAACAAATTGGGATATCTATCAACTGTGCAAGCGAAAAAAATACAGGTATAAAAATATAGTCAAACTGTTGAAAAAGAATCACTCTGACCTTTATATCCCAGCAAATTTAAAAGACCCTCAACTTCAATCCAGAGTCCATATGATTTTTAGAAAGATAAATATCTTTCTCAAAAACAAGCAATTCAATGAAATTGCCAAAGAGAAAAGAAATTTGTTTACATGGTGCAATGAAAATTCCCCATGCAATAACAAGAAAACAACACGGTAAGTGCTCTGTTAATACCAATGATGTTATTTTCAACATTAGATTCTAAAACTTTTTAAATGAACACGAAGACAAATAGAAAATGACAAATACTGTTTTACTTTTGGAGAACAAAGGTTGTCTAACCTAGAAGAAACTATTTTCCAAATTTTGCTGAAGTATCAAATAATACCTCCAATTAGATGTGTGCAAAAATTACCAATATTTTTTGGTATTAAATCTCTAAAAGTTTTCTAAAAAGGTGTTAGGCACCTTTACATATATCTAATATTTGAAAAAGATATTAAAATACTGTTTTTGCAATTAAATGAAACTAGATTTTCTTATTGAGAAAAGTTGTTTTAATTCTTTAATAAATACATGTAATCCAGTCATCAGTTTATACTACTATACCAATGTGTCATGTTAATATATTCAGATATCACGGCCAAAATAAAATCATATGAACACAATTTTTCTATCTTTCTTTTTTTTTTTTGCATGAATAATTAAGACAGATCCAACCTGATACACTCTACAATTTTCTAAATGAAAACACATTTTTTCTAATTTGCACCATTTGGCCAGAAATGACCACCTTATGTTCTTTCATTTGTTAAGTGTCATTAAAATAGAAAAAGATTAGTACTTTACCACACCATGTTTAAAAAAAAAAAAAAGTAGTAGATGATAGAGAGAGTGGCACTACCTGATGTATACTAGTTTATTTACCAAATAATGTAGTTGTACGAATTCTCTCTAAAATTGGTTCTTGGGCAACATCAGATCCCTCTGCTAGTAATTGATAATAGTTTAAAAGAATAAACAAAATAAAAAATATTTTACTTTTTAGAATAAGTTTTAAAACGCTTGTTGGTAATAATGAATTTTTTCTTGCAATTTCAATCCTTTTTTTTTTTTTTTTCTTTTGTAGATTTTCTTCAGATGTTGACTTGAATGAAAGAACACCTTCAATAATTAATGAGGATTGCTGTGAAGGTGCGACAGGCATTGCACCTGTTGATAACCAAAATGTATCCACTCTTCTTTCCAACAACTGCTTAACCTCTCTGCTAGATTCAAATCTACAAACATCACCACTTTTGCCAATAAAGTCTCTACAAACTACAGCAACAGGAGCATCCCCCTCACCACCCAAGGAGAACCAGCCAGGTATAAGTAAGGAATCTGAAAGCCAAAATTTGATATTATCCATCAAGAAATTTGAATCTCTAGTCAAAAAAGCTATTGCAGAAATTGCTTTAAAAGATGCTAGAATTAATTGTTTAAAGAAAGAGATAAATAATGTAATGAAGAATCAAAAGAAAATCTCTTCTAATCTGAAAAGGTTGAAATTTCGGCATTTGCATCAAAAGATAAGCACTTGATAAAATGGATGAGGTTTATTGATATTCTTCACAAATATAACAGCCTTACATTATATTTCATAATCGTCAGAGGGAAGAAACATTAAACCTTGTTGCCTCTGTATCAGTAGCTTTATTTCAGTAAAGAACAATATTCTTGGAAATCTTTATAATTGTTAGTTCTTTGCCTGATAAAAGACCATTCTTCATGGTTTTAACATGTGAGTTTCTTAAACATTGAATAATTTATTTCTAAAAGAAAAATTTAACCATTTCAGGAATTGTAAGTAAAAATTTGTAAATGCTTTGTTTGATTTCATTCATTATTTAAATGAATCTAAAGATAGAATAAAAGAAAATCACTAAACTTGTGTGTGCAAGCAGATATTTATTCTTACAATGAATTCCATCTAAAATAAACAATGGTCCTTTTTGTTTTCTAATCTCATCAGATTAGACAGTTCTTGATACACAAACAAAACAAACCTGCCCTTAAAATTAAGTGTGTATGTCTCCATCAGAAAAGGTACATTTGTAAAGGCATTTTGTCTCCTTTATGTTAAGTGTTATATGAGTAAAAAGAAACCTCATTTCCAGAAACAATATTTATTTTCAATGTATCAACAAAAGATGTCAGAAAATAAAGTAGGCATGAACTACTGTTAAAGCTTCAAAAACGAAGAAAATCTACACCAAGTGGCAACAGTCAACACAAAGGCAACACAATCTTCAGGTTGACTGAAGATTGCATTCAAGCATAAAACAGACTGTTGCTGCTTGGCATAGACATCAGTACCCAGTAAATTTTTATCATATATATATATATATATATAAACAAAGACAAAAGGAAAACTTTTCTTCACTGGCTCATTTCATCCTCTGATGGACTTTATCAAGACAAATGTAAGGATTTCGTGTTGCAATATGTATTTTAAATGGAAATAAAAATACTATGTTTACAAAATTTTTAAATTTAAGAGTGCTCATAAGGTCCATCACAGGATGAAACACTTCAGCAAAGAAATATTTTACTTTTGTCTTTACACATATTGTCTTTTTACAGATATATTTTTATTCATATCTGAATTTTTACATATAAGTTATCAGTGGGTTATCAGTGTTACAAGGGTGGATCACAACAGATCACAATACTTTCTTGTGAGAAATGATGTCAACAGATTTTAGTGTGTTAATTCTTACAAACCCACCTTAAATAAAAAGCTACTCAAGACAACCTTGCAATGGGCTTGTTCTAGCTCATTACAATTTTTAACAAACCTTACTATATGTATAAGGTAAATTTTAGCAGCTAAAATCTCTCCTAAATATAGGTATCTCCATTTTCATCACAGGAATTTGACACCTAAGTTACAGAGTTCATACAGGTTCTGGAAACCTTGAAAAGTCCTAGAAAATTTACAGGTCCTTTTTCAAGTCCTGGAAAAACAGTAACATCCCAAAAGCAACTTGAAAAGTCCTGAAATTTTCTAAATTGGGCTGCCCACACACCCCTTTTCTCAATTCATAATAGTCAAAATGCCAAATCCCAGAAATCTGGCTTTTTTAGTTGTCAGTAATATTTGGCAATTATTGCGAATAATGGTTTGTTTCCTTGATTAGAATGAGCCCATGACTTCATACTTACTTTTGTATTTTCTCATCTAGTTGATTAGAAAGAATACGAAGGCATGTCTTCTAGCTGCTACCCTCACTCAACAAGAAAATAGGAAAAGCAAAGATAAAAGGCATCAGACAAGTAAATATCTCTGTCAAAGATAAATTAATTCATGCTCATTGAGTTTGTAGTTGTCATATGCCCCAGTTGACAAATGGGTTTATAAGGCGATCATACGCCGACTAGGAGATATATACATTCTCACACCTGTGGAGAGATACAAGCTATCTCTCCCAGATCGTGACAATGGAGAATTGGTAAACAAAATATTTTTAAGACCACTGTTCGATTGGGATAATCGAACAGTAATCTTTCCCAGGTCCGCTTCGTTTTCAACACGAATACTGATCCACAATACAAGGATGAACTATAAGGCTTAGTGATTTTTGATACAAGAATTTTAATATGTACAAATATACAAATATCAAAATAAAAGAACAGATAAGTATGAGTTAAAACATCTGACAACCAGATCTCAAACTTACGTTGGGATATCAAGATTCGTCTAACACCAAATGGATTCAACTGAACCCGAACATACAAAAATATAAGTAAGAATTACTATGAATTGAATGCAGAAGCCAACACATACACAAAAGAGATGGGATAGGAGTTACAATTATTGTTTTGACATATGGAAAGGTGTTTGCAAGAACATAATATTCATGGATATATGTATATCTTTCTACTACGGGTCCAAAATATGATTACTTATCTTTTATTATTCAGTTCTTTTTTTTTTTTATCATTGTCCTTTCCTTTCTTTTCTCGACACAAACACAATTTCACACACTGTCTGGCTGTAATAGAGGCATACACCTTCTTCCTCTCTTTGTTTTGCCTTTTTCTTTCCTTCCTTTTTCTTCTGTAGACAGTTCGGTTTCCAAACCCGACTCACTGCAACAGGGATGTACACTTTCTTCCTCTCTTTGGTTTTCTTCTTTCTTTCCTTCTTCTTTACACAATTCAGCTTATAACAGAGGTATACACTTTCTTCCTCTCTTTGGATATCCTTTTTCTTTTCTTTACACAATTCAACTTGTAACAGAGATATATGCTTTCTTCTCTAGTTTTCCTTTTTCTTTAAATGCAGGCTGAATCCTCAGCATATAAATTTCTCTGCGTCTTCAATTTGGGGTTATCGAACAGGAATACTTCTTATATTTCTTGTTCGGAGTTGCCTGGGTTGAACTGGATAAGTTCCATCACTATCAAATGAGTCTTATCTTTCCGTTCATAAACTATCAGCGCTTCGACTTCAGGTCTTGCCTCTTCAAAGTCAAGATAGCAACTGATTCTCGAGTGAATCTCTGACTATCATGTGTGTTAAGTTTTGGCTTGAATTCAGCTACATCAGTCCCTGTCTAGCTTCTGTCTAGACATTTGTCGCTACGGGTAATTGGGTCAGTCAACCTTTTGACCTGCCTTCCCAAAATGTCATAAGACTCCCACGTGACCTTTATTCTGCTGCTAGGCAAAAATTAACCCTAATATATGCCTATCTGCTTTCGTCACAGTAGTTGAGAGGAAAATAATAAATTATTTTACAGTAATAAAATACATTTCAGTAGAATCTCGAAAAATGTATCAGTGTTTTTGAAAATTTGAACAACTGAAGAAATGTTATTCTCATGTCAGTTTTAAAAGTAAAAAGTCCTTTTGATCTCTAGTCAGCTGTGGGTGACTTCATGCTGAAAAAATAAATACTTATGCATCCCGTGTCAATATGATCTGTGTAAACTACGTTTGTCTAAATTGTTACCAAAAGTAACAAGTTTGAGAATCAAATTTGACTCAAAGAAACTGACAGAAAATGTGCCCTTGAAGGATAGGATAGAAAATAAGAAGAATATTATTTTTAAAGTTTGCAGGCTAATGATGACCTGTATCTAGCTTTTGTTTTAAGTGTGAATTAAATGATGAAACTTATTTGCCTTTTATTGCTTGACTTTATATTAATCTGGCAATCCTGTCCCTTTTACTTTTGTATTTCTGCCATAGATGGCTAGAAAATGTACAAACATATGAATGACTCCTAGATATTTGGCCAGATTTCATCAAATTTGTGAACTTAATAAAAAACCCCAGAAAAATGTCCTCAGACCAAATCCTGCTTTGTAGTGCTGTCAACTGTGAATGTTTTATTTCCAATGAAACTGCAGATTTTTGTCTGCTTCAAAAGACATTGAACCATTTCTGATAAAATATCAGTGTGATAAATCGTTGCTTCCTTTTCTTGCAGATGATCTTTTTAGCATGATCATGAAACTGTTAAAATTTGTAAAGGAAGAGCACACTAAAAAGATAATTACATTTTCTAAACTGAATGAATTTGTAACAATTTTGTCAAACCCAAACATACATAAAGATGCTGCAAAGACATAGTGTGTATCTCTGGCAAATAGGGCTATGCAAAATTTATCCAAAAAAGAAATGTGTCAATAAAAGATCTGTTTGCATACAGAATTGCAACAAAGACAATGCTCATCACCATCATTGAGAAACTTCTGGCAAAGTCTTCTTCTTGTAAGGTCACTTGCATGGCTGAACCCTGGATTCTTTTGTGAAGAGAAAATCTGCTCCAGAAGCCAATCTAAAAAGCTGTCTTTCCCACATAATGGATAGGAAACAAGTTAGCAAGTCTTATTGTGATGACATCATCAGTCAGTACAAAGTGTTCAAGGAAGCAGCTGCTGGAAATATTGCTTTCAAGAATTTCAGCAAGCGTGAAGATCATCTGGACACTTTTTTCCACTCTTTGTCTAGTAACAAAGAAGATCAAAAACTGTAGAAAGTTGCTCACAGATTGCTGGTACTCACTAATGGACAGACCTCAGTAGAAAAAGGTTTCTCAGTCAATAAGGAAATTTCCACTGACAATATGAAACAGCAGACTCTGGTCACATAATGCATTATCATGGACTGTTTGGCCACAGTTGAAGGTGCCGGGAATGTTCTCATGACTAAGGCTCTTCTCTTCAGTGCTTCTAATGCCAGAACAACAGACAACCAATACATTAAGGCTGAAAATAAAAAAGCAGGAAGAAGCAGCTGGACAAAAATGGAAATACATGCTTATGGAAATTGAAGAACTGAAGACCTAAAAACTCTAGCTTGAAAGTTGCACACAAGATTTGCTGATAGCTATGTGGAGAAAACTGAGCAGACTCGGAACTTGACACTTACCACAAAGTCCAATGTAATCTGCAAACGACAAATCCATAGAGAAGAGGAGCTGAATGCTAAACTAGATGAACTGAAAAAATCCAGGAATTTATTTTACACAGATCTGTGGGGACCCTGTAAATAAAAAAAAAAAAAAAGAAGAAAAAAAGCTAGAAAAAAATGCTTAAAATATTAATTTTGGGGTCAGTGTTTTCCTGCTATTTCTCAAGCTGAGTTATCAGATAACTTTCTTCAAAATCATGTGAAAATTAGGAACAATTATTTATTCCACATAAATTCATGGTAGTGTAACTCTTAAGTGAAAATTTCTAGTCTTTTTTTTTTTTTTAAATGTGTTTGTGTATGCCGTCTCTCTTTCTGCTACTTCTGTATAAGCGGTATTGAGCAGAGACATGAAAATGTTTGTTGCCATCATTCATTCCCTGTTTTTGATTTTGTTGAAACAATAAAACATACCCCATTAGAACAGTTTATTTTACTACAACTTTATTATTTTTTTTAAGATCATTTAACATTATAATGAACAAGAATGAATTCAAAGTAAAGATTTAACATTGAACTTGAAACAAAGGTATTTCTTTGAAAAACAAAATGAAAATTATTTGAGTTTTTTAAAGATTATTTTTGATAGTTCAGCTAGAACTGTTCACTTCAGTCATGCTATTAGAAATATTTCCTTTTGGCTTTATTGATTTGCAATTTTTGGGTTCTACAATCACTTTGCAAGCCACATTAAGTTTTCTTTTTCATGTAATATGAAACATTTAACTCGATATTTTAGAGTGTGATGTGAAAACTATCAAACATATTGAATTAAAACAATTTGAGATTATTTTATTCTTGATGGTCTGTCTTTGGGTCCAACTTAAGTTAAGGATGAATGATGAATTCTTAGTGACTTCTGTTGCTTTGAAACAGACCCATGTAGTTGCCACTAAACTATATGATAAAAGTTAATATTTACTTAACATGTTTAAAATAATCTATATATCATAGGATGAAAACCTACAAGAAGATCAAAAATGGAATAACCTTTCTGGAATATTAATTGCATTGTCTTGTATTCACTTTTTCAGGCCCATATTAGAATTTAAATAGCTTTTAGCAAATGTTATCATGGGTGGGGGGATAATTTCCCCTTGCCTTCTCAAAAGGTTTGAATTCATAGTGGTCCTTCTTCTAAACTGGCTGCCACCCAAGGTTAAATAATTTATTCTACATTGATATTAAATCTATAGCTGGAGAAAGAAAAGATGAATTCAAACATTTTCTATAAAAGTATTTGTTCAAAAGTGAATGTAACAGAATTTGAACTTGGCACATCAATTCCACTTTTCATACTGATAACCACATTGCTACATGCACTTCCACTGATTTTTAGATCTTAAAATAAAATAAATTTTTTCATATATCCTTATTGACAACACAAAAATAGTTATACAGACATCAGTTTCTTTAAATTTTAACTCTGGATTTTTTTTTAAACTATGAACTATAATGGCAGATGGGGCTTTCAGCAAACCCCATAACTGTTAGAAATTTGAAACAAAACCTTTTTATTGTTTATCCAGCTATTGTTTCAATTTGATTTTTATTTTATTAACTAGATCAATAGTACTTGAAAATTGTGGCTATTCAAAACATATCAACAATTAAACAAATTAACTCCTTCAAACTTAGATAAACTACATAGCAAATTGATGTATCTAGAATTTTAGGCTCATCTTTAGTGGTAGAAATATTTAAGGAATCAGTCCTTATGGATTTGTTTGCTTTCACATTGTTTGTAAGGGTTTAATCTATAAAAGCATAAATAATAAACAAAATCTAAAATTCTCTGTATTTAAGCAGTAAATGTTCTTTAAGGCAAATGCTATTAAAAAATGACAGACATTTTTTTTTTGTCAATTAATTTTAATGATCAACTTTTCCAAATTATAAATAATCCTCAGACAATGCATGGTCAAATGCATGGGCTTCTCTGTTGCATAGAGTTGTCACCAAAATCAAATTCACATGAATGGTCTCATCAAATCCTTTAATTCAAACATCTCCACTACCAGGCAAGAGAGGATGACTATTTTGATGATCAGATGCGGGTGGGTGTCGACAACATCACAAGTTCCAAATAGTTACATTATCTAAAAGCTGATCATCTCTTGGTGATGATCAGATTTATTCGATTTCTCAATAATATTAATCTATCCTACCTACATAACTGACAATTGGTTATTAACATTGAATGTTTCTATAAATTCTAATTAAGCGACACAAGTAAAACTGCAAAGAGTCTTGCACATGTAAATCTTTTAAAGATAAAAATTTATTAATACTGCTATTGTGTTAATTTCTGAATCCTTGAAAACATTTTTAAGGCTTTAATGTCCACAATTGGTTAATACTTTTCAAAGTTAGTCTAAAGTATGTTTTTTGACCTTCAGCGAGTGGATGTTGCATCTAACCATCTTGCGATTTTGTCTCCTCATCAAGATCTTGTTAAGCTGTTGTGCTGTTTGAGATTAATATAATAAAAAAAGAACAAACAATGGTAATGCAACACTTGAGAAATGGACAGGTGCATTCTCTTGTTGTCAGTCACCACAATGATGGTCATTTCCTTTTTACTGCATCATTCAACTGAATTGAATTTAGTTCTCTTTGTTTATTGTCTGACCTGGATAAATGTACTCATCATGAACATAATGGAAAGAAATCATCAACATGACTTTTGCGTACATCTGAAGACTCAGATGACACTTCCATTTAGAAGACTCAGCTTTGCATTCAGGGAATTCAATAAATATACAAAAATAGAAATGGACATTAGACAAGGAGGTGTTTTCATACTGGACTTATTCAACCTTTACAGTGAAGCGATTTTGAGAGAATTAAAAGTCCTACCAGGATTTATT